CGTCTCGCTTTCAAAGAAAAATTTGAAGCAACTAGAAATTAAGATCATGTATAAAAAGGTTTAAAATAGGAATCAAAATATTGATAAATAGTGCTGTTGAGGATGCACATACCTCTGCACTCCAGTGGCTCTTCCCTGTGCTCCATGCACGTGGCCTCCTCCCTCCGCCCCCCCACCCGCCCCTTTCTCTCCAGGCCTGGCCTGCTGGGAGTGCTCCTGTGTGGGACTTAAGCAGGAGTGTATATGGGTCAGGTCTCAAGGAGAAGATTGGGGCTGCAAAGTAGAACTGGCAGCTGTCAGTCTACATGTGATGGCCAGAACCCTGAGAGGATGAGGTCATCTAACGCAGCTGGTTGCCAACCTTTCAGACCTCACAGACCACCCACCAGTGGCGACCACCTGTTGGCGACCGCTGATCTAATGAGGGTAGAGCAAAAGAGGAGAGGCCCCGAGCATCTGTATTGAAGGGGAAATAGGAAGAAAAGGCCTTTCCTGAGAAGGAATGGGGGGTGGGGTAAGGAAGGTAGTCTCCCCAAAAACCAACCAAGGAAGCATGGCCAAAGGTGATAGCATTGTTTCTGAGCAGCAGTTCCTTACTCGCAAAATGTGACAAGTGTTCAGCTTTACAGATTGGTATGGGGATATAATGAGATCATGTGAACAACAGTTCTTTGTAACCATAGGCGTGTGATATAAAGGAATATTCTCCAGAAAAAAAAAAAAAAGAAAGAAAGAAAGAAAGAAAGAAAAGTTATCAAAGGGCGTACCAGCGCAGTCCATTCCAATAAGGACCTGAAACTAGTCAAGTGATGGTCTGGTGTGCATCATCCTGGTTTTAGGCCATCCTTGTTTCACAGTTGAAGGTCAGCAATTCCACTAGAGCTGGAATATCTGAAGGTTAGAGTTTGTACCTTCTGAAGTTAGTTCCTAGGATTCTGGTACAAGCATGCGGTTTATCTACAAGCTACATGTTAATCAGAGTCAGCAATGTCAAAAGAATGATGGGGTGGGTTACAATTCCCCACTGTTACAAAACCAGTTGGTTCAAATTACACAAAGAATATATTAATGGTACCGGGGATAATGGCTGCTTTGAATTTCTCAATTGCAAGTTAATTTGCTAGTTTTCTGGCATCATTGCCCCATCTGTGAACATGTGTTTTTTAAAAAATATCTTTAGAATTTGCAATTATAGTATTTCCCTTCATTTGATCATTTTACATGTGTTTTTCTGCTCCTCCTACCTCCAGTTTAAAGAAAATATTTAAGATACACAACTCAAAATTAGTGAGGAAAAATTGTGCTAGTAAAATGCTTTAAAAATAACAATTTTGGGAGAAGGTGGGTAAAGGAGGATAAATGGGAGATATCTGTAATACTATCAACAATAAAAATATATTTTAAGAATAAATAAAAATAACAATTTTTGAAGAGACACGATCTCTGATTAAATTACAGTAATACAAGAGGGAAAACAGTAGGTTTATGTCTGAGGTAAATATATGTTTGAAAAAAGTAGTATTTCAGCCAACCAGATGAATAACAGGTAAGCTCCATTTTCTCTATCCTACTATTAGAAATCTAGAGATTCCTTTCCCTCAGTGTGTTTCTGTATGTCTCTCACTTCTCATTAGAAAGGCTAGTCAATGGATTAAGCTTCAAAAGTTTGTCCTTGGGCTAGGGCAAACACACACACACACACACACACACATCTAAGGGACAAACTGTGAAACTCTATTAATTCTAATCACTTACCTGCAGGTTACTTTGGGTTTTGAATTTGAATAATAGTCTTTGCATTATAATAGTCTTATTTCTTCCTGTCCAATATAATTCATTTCTTTTTCTTGCCTTATTACATTGACTAGAGTCTGCAGTACAATTTTTAATAGAAATGTTGATTTCAGGCATTCTGCCTTCACTTTAAGAATATTTTACCATTAAGTACGGTGCAGGTTTTCTTGCCAGTTTAAGGGATTCCCCTTTTATTCATAGTTTGCTCAAGATTTACTTTGTCATGAATAAATGTTGATTATATAAAATGCTTTCATCAATTATTAAGAGCAAATGATTTTTCCCTTTAATCTATTGTGAATAGGGCTTAACAGAACCTTTCCCCATTCTTTTAAGAGTTGACCCTTGTTTAACTCACCTAATAATCTGATAATACTATATGTCATCTTGATGCTAGGCAATCTTGCTTATGGTAAAAATGGACCCTGATTGGTAAATTGCATTGGATTGGCTGGAACTATAATTGAACCATAAGTAGCTGGTAGGGGAGCCATAGCTTTGGGCCTTTCTCAGTGTGTACCACTTATAACCAGGCATGCCATCCATGAGGAGTCTGGAAGTTGTGCCTATGGAATTCTTCTAAGAGATTAGTTGTTTCTGAGGAGATGTGAACTTTAAACTCGAGTGTTTGACCCACCAGACATGAACCCTTGTCTCCTGGCATCTGAGATATCATCTAGGGAGGACAAAGAAAACACATCAGCGAGGGGTGGGCTGCTGCCAGGCCCTCCCCACAGAAGAAGAAAGTCTGCCACGGTCCTGTTAAGCACTGGTCTCCTTACTGTACCTTTCTGAGGGCATTGGTACCAAGAGGGCTGTGGGAGTCCTAAGCGTCTGAATGTTTAATGGCACCTAACACTCCCTACTCGGCATTGCAAATTTATTAATGTAGTGAAGTATGATCATTGGTGTTCTAAAGTTAAATCAATCGTGTTTCTGGGATAAATCTAACTTGATCATGACCTATTTTGTTTGCTAGATTTTGATTGATAACATTTTGTTCAGGGTTTTTGCACCTATGTTCATAAGGAAAATAGGACTGGTGATGCTCCTGAATCCTACTGTCTGCTAAAGTTTTGCTATTAAGATTATATTCATCTCATAGAAAAATATTGTAGAGTGTTTCTTCATTATTTATACTCTGAAATAGTATATGTTAGGTTGGCAGTGTTTGTCCCTTAGGTGTTTGGTAGACTCTCTGGGCCTGGAGTTTTATTTGAAGAAAGATTTTAAACTACTGACTGAACTACTTTAATGGTTATAAGGACTATGTAGATATTCTATTTCTACTTGAGTCTCAGTTGATGAATTCCCCCACTTAGGAATTTGTCCACTTCAGCTAAACTTTCAAACTTATTGACACAAAATGGTTCAGAATGTCTTATTGCCTTTAAAGATTGCCTGTAACACCTGTAGGTAGGTCCTGCTTTCAGTCCTAAATTGTTTTCTTGTCCTTTTTCACTTCTTTTCTTGCTTAATCTTGTCAGTTTTGCCTATTATATTAGTCATTTTAGAGAAGCAATTTTTGGCTTTGTTCATTTTCTCCATTGTTTAGGATTACTATTTTACTCAATTTCTGTTCTTATGCTTATTTCCTCCTATCTTTTAAAAGTTTATTCTGTTGTTATTTTACTAACTTCCTATTTGTATCATTTACAAATTATTTTTCACCCTTTTTAAAAAAATGCAAATATTTAAGTTTATAAATTTTAAAGTGTTATTTGAGCTACATTCCACACATTTGAAAAATTTTAAATTTAGCATTTTTATTATTGTTCAATTTTTAATATTTTGGTTTTACATTATAATTTCCATTTGATCATGAGTTATTTAAAAGCACATATCTCAATTTCCAATACCATTTTTCTTATCTTTTTTACTATTGTTTACTTTTATTAATTTCTAATTATTCCTTGTTTTTGAAGGGTGTCTGTACCTTGCCAGTTCTTTGAAATGTGTTGGGATTTGTTTCATAGTGCAGTAAGTAGCGAGTTTTGGAACTGTTCTAACCATCAGGTGAATCTAGGTAACTGTGTGGTTCAAATCACCTATATTTTTGTGTCTTTTTTTTCCTTTTAAATCTGTCCATTACTGAGAAAAAAATGTTAAAGTCTCCACAATGATGATAAACTTGTCAATTTCCATTTATACAACACCAGATTTAGTTATTTTGAAGGATGTTATTAGCTGCATGTAAGTAACTGTTATATCTCCTTGTAATCTTCATCTTGAATAATGCCTTAAAGTCTATTTTTTTCTAATATTAATAAAGCCACATCAGTTTTGTTAATATTTTCCTGGTATAGTTTTCTTCTTCTACCCATTTCTCCTCAACTTTTCTGTGACCTTATGTTTTAGGTATGTTTCAAATAACATATACTTGGATTTTCACTCCAAAGAATATTTCCCTTGTTTCTAAAACTTTGCTTTTACTATAGAAGACCTTGTGACTCAAGTCTTTGTTCATCCCTAATACTCTTTCTACTTTCTTTGGATAGGGGTGGTTGCCGCTTTTCCACAGCTCTTGGAGGGCAACCTCCTGAGGGCTGCCAGCCACACCCACTGCAGGTACAGTGACATTTTAAGCAGCCTTGTGCAAATAATGGGAAGTCACTTCCAATTCTTCCACTACTAAGTGAAAATAGATTTCTCAAAGAAAGAGTGCATCCTAGCAGACAGCCTGATCCAGTTAACTGGGAATGAACAGGATGGGGGTGTCAGGCTCACTTCTAATTTCAAGTCATATCAAATGACCAATTATGATTTAGGCTACAAAAACAAAGGACTGAACTCTGTAAGTCAGGATAAGTGGGCTTTCCTCTGGGTCAATGAGGGTCCCTTTTAATGGCGGGGAAGGCACTGGGTTTGCAATTCAGACTTCCAAGCTTGATTGCCTGCTCTGTCTTGTGGGAGATGTGTGTTTGGACAAGTCACTAAATATACCTGAGCTTCAATATCTATCACAAAATAAAGGCATTGAATTGGATTGCTAAGGGACACCATTTGAGCGCTAATGTATTCTGGTTCTGTAGGGAAGAATTATAGTGTGTTTACATTACTGGATCCATCTGGCCCCCGAAATTCTCAAAATATTGTCTTTTAGCAAAGTGTAAATTGTTACAAAGACAGCCTTCTATGTAAATTGCAGGGAATATTCTTTTTTACAGTGTCCCACTTTATATAAAAGTAGTACCATGACTGTTACATAATCATTTAAAAATATTTTATTAAGCATCGATTTAAAAATGCAAGAGAAGAATATAACATCTTGAAGCAAATATTGCACTTATAAAAATCTCCTTTTACATCTTCACAAAACTCATTTCTAAAATACCCCTTTACAGGCATGTATAAATTAACTGCTTTCAACAGTCACCACTCAATGCCATTAGGTTCCTGTCACTGCACTACAATATCTGCTTCTCTTGATGCAGGCATGGAACTTCCATCACACCTACCTCTGTGAAGAGTCAATCTTTCTGAATATTCAATATTTAATGTCATAAGATTGTTTTTATACTGAGAAAAATAGATCTTTCAAAGGCAATGACAGAATGAAGCTTAAATGAACACAGTTCACTGTTAACATTGCTTATTTTCCAAGGCATTCAGGAACTTCTGATTCTTGGTCTTCAACATCATGACAAAGCTGTTGGGCATGATTTTGCCTCGCCCATCTTCACCCACTTGGCCCATAATAATGTAATTTTGACCTAAGAGATAAAGAATATGTTAATTTTTTCTCTGTGTGCTAAAAATAATGAATATAAGCTAATTTTTTCTCTACATGTGCTTGTTTGAAACAATTTAGACTATAATTTTTATCATAAATTGGTGCTGAATTTTATCAAATGCTTTTTCTGCATCTATGGATATGATCATGTGGTTTTATCCTTTAATCTGTTTATTTGGTTTATCATGTTTATTGTTTTTTCGAATGTTGTACCAACCTTGCATCCCAATAATAAGTCCCACTTGATCATGGTGTATGATCTTTTTAATGTAATGCTATATTCAGTTTCCTAATATTTTGTTGAGGATTTTAGCATCTATGTTATACAGGAATGTTGGGCTATAATTGCCTTTCTTTCTTGTATCTTTATCTGTTTTTGGAGTTAGGATAATGCTGGCCTTGTAAAAAGAGTGCAGAAGTCTTTCTCTTGAATTTGAGGATAGGTATTCTTCTTTGAATGTTTGGTAAAATTCACTTGTAAAGCCATTTGGCCAGGCTTTTTATTGTTGAAAGTTTTGTGTTTTTTAAAATTATGATTACTGCTTCAATTTCACTAGTTGTAATCTGTCTATTCAGATTCTCTGATTCTTCCTGATTTAGTTTTGGAAGGTTGTATGTTCCTAGGAATTTATCCATTTCTTCCAGATTATTGGCATATAGTTATAATATTTTTTTACAATCCTTTGTATATATTTGGTGTCAGTTGCTACTTCTCCTGTTTCATTTCTGATTTTATTTATTTGGTCCTCTCTCTTTTTTTCTTGAGTCTGGTTAAAGGTTTATCAATCTTGTTTACCTTTCCAAAAAATCAGCTCTTGGCCTCATTAATGTTTTATATTGTATTTTTAGACTGTATTTCATTTATTTCTGCTCTGGTCTTTATTATTTCCTTCTGTCTACTCACTCTGGGCTTTGTTCTTTTTCCAGTTTCTTTAAGTGTAAAGTTAGATTATTTATTAGAGATTTTTCATATTTCTTCTGAAAGGCTTGCAATGCTATGAATTTCCCTCTCAGGGCTGCTATCCCAGTGTCCCACAGATTTTTGGGTAGTTATGTTCTCATTTTCATTTGTTTCAAGGTGTCTTTTGATTTCTTCCTTGATCTCCTTATTTGCCCATTGTTTAGCAACATGTTATTTAGCCTCCATATCTTTGTGTGTTTTTCAGTTTTCTTGTGACTGATTTCAAGTTATGATCAGAAAAGAGGCTTGATAGGATTTCAGTCTTAAATTTATATAGACTTGTTTTGTGTCTAACATGTGGTCTATCCTAGAAAATGTTCATGGGCATGTAATAATGTATATTCTACTGCTTTGGGGTGAAATGCTCTGAAGATATCAATTAAATCCAGTTGACCTAGTGTGTGATTTAAGGTCACCATCTCCTTGTTGATTTTCAGTCTGGAAGATCCATTGATGTCAATGGGGTGTTAAAATACCCTACTATAACTATATTATTGTCAATATCTTCCTTTATGTCCATCAAGATTTGCTTTACATGTTTAGGTGCTCCTATGTTGGGTGCATAAATGTTACAAGAGTTATGTCCTCTTGTTTGGTTGATTTCTTGATCATTCTGTAATGTCTCTAACTATAGCCTTGGTTTTAAAATCTATTTTGTCAGATATAAGTATTGCTACCCCAGCTTTTTTTCCTTTCAATTTGCATGAAATATATTTTCCATTCTTATACTTTTAGTCTGTGTGTATCTTTCATTCTGAGGTAGGTGTCTTGAAGACAGCATATACATGGGTCTTTTTTTCTTATCCATTCAGCTACCTTATGTCCTTTGATTGGATCATTTAAGCCATTTACATTTAAAGTGATTATTGATAGGTAAGTATTTATTGCCATTTTATATTTTTTAACTATGTTCCTCTGTGTGTTCTTTTCTTCTTCTTCCATTTTTTTTTTTCTTGGTTGTTGTTAATCCTCACTTGAGGATATTTTTCCATTGATTTTTAGAGGACAGGGAGAGACACAGAGACAGAAACATTGATGTGAGAAAGACATATAGATTGGCTGCCTCCCACATGTACCAAACCAGGACCAGAAATCAAGCCTTCAACAGAGGATCAAGTCCACGGGCTGATGCTCTATCCACTGAACCAAACCATCTAGGGCCTTCTTCCGCTTCTTAAAGCAAGCCCTTTAATATTTCTTGTAATACTGGTTAGGTGGTAACAAACCCCTTTAGCTTTTTCTTGCCTTTGAAGCTCTTTATTTCTCTTTCAATTTTAAATGATAGCCTTGCTGGGCAAAGTAGCCTTGGTTATAGGCCCTTGCTTTTCATCACTTTGCATATTTCATGCAAATCCCTCCTGGCCTGAAATGTTTCTGTTGAGAAATCAGCTGACAGTCTTTTATGAGAGTTGCCTTGTAGGTAACTGACTGCCTTTCTCTTGTGGCTTTTACAATTGTCTTTAACTTTTGGCATTTTAATTATGATGAAAACAAGTGCTTGCAAGGATATGGAAAAAGGGAATCCAAGTACAATGCTGGTGGGAATGCAGATTGGTGCAGCCACTATGGAAAACAGTATGGAATTTACTCAAAAATGAAAAAATGGAACTACCATTAAACCCAGCTGATTGGGTCTTTCTTTCTACCTAGTCTTCCAAATCACTGATTCAATCCTCTGCTTCATTGACTCTGCTGTTTATTTCTTCCAGTGTAGTCTTATTTCAAATATGACATTCTTCTTTTCTGACTGGTCCTTTTTCATGGTTTCATCCTTTTTCATGCTGTTGAGCACTTCTAGAAATATATCCTAAGAAGCCCAAAACACCAATCAGAAAGACTATATGAACCCCTATGTTCATAGCAGCTTTACTTACAATAGCAAAGATCTGGAAACAGCCCAACTGCCCATTAGTAGATGAATGGATAAAAAAGCAGTGGTAAATTTATACAATGGGATATTATACAGCTGCAAAAAAGAAGGGTTTCTTAACCTTTGCGATAGCATGGAGGGAGCTGGATAGTATTATGCTGAGTGAAATAAGCCATTCAGAGAAAGAGAAATATTATATTACTTGTAAGTGGAATCTACTGAACATAATAATCTGACAAAATAGGCTCAGTGGCATGGAGGCAAGGAATAGACTGATGTAAATCAGAGGGGAGGGGGTAAGACAATAAGAAATTAACCAAAGAACTTTTATATATAAATGTATAACCAATGGACACAGACAATAGTGTGGTAAAGGCCTGGCATGGGGAAGGGGCTGAGAGAAGGAGGGAATTAAGGAGTGGAAAATTGGAGGACATCTGTAATATTGTCACAATAAAATAAAATTTAAAATAATTACTATGTGTTCTGGTGTGGGCCTCTTTGGGTTCATATTGTTTGGGACTCTTCTGCACTTCTTGGACTTGTATTTCTTTTTCCTTCACCAGGCTAGGGAAGTTTTTAGGAATTATTTAATCAAATAGGTTTTCCATCCCTTATTCTCTCTCTTCTCCTTCTGGTACTCTTATAATGTGGATGTTGTTACATTCCATGTTGTTCCAAAGGTCCCTTAAACTATGCTCATTTTTTAAAGTCTTTTTTCTTTTTTCTTTTTTGCTGATTGGGTGTTTTTTTCGACCTAGTCTTCCAAATCACTGATTCAATCCTCTGTTTCATTGACCCTGCTGTTTATTTCTTTCAGTGTAGTCTTTATTTCAAATATGACATTCTTCTTTTCTGACTGGTCCTTTTTCATGGTTTCTATATCCCTTTTCATGCTGTTGAGCATCCTTATAATTATTACTCTGAACTCTACCTGATAAATTGCTTACATCCTCTTCATTTAGCTCTTCTTCTGGAAAATTTTCTTGTTCCTTCCTTTGGGGCCTGTTTCTTTGTATCCCCATTTTGGCTGCCTATTTGTGTTTATTTCTATGTATTAGGTAGATCTGCTATGATTCCCAGTCTTGGTAGGGTGGCCTTATGTAGTAGGTGTCCTGTGGGACACAGTGGCACAGTTTCTCTAATCACCAGAACTGAATGCTCTAAGAATGTCTCTTGTGTGCAGTTGTGTGGGCTCTCCTTTTGCAATTGAGTCTTGATTATTGTTGGCCCATTTGTGCGTGGCCTTGACCCTTAGTTGGACTGACTGCGAGGCTCAACCCCCAACATGGTGTGCAGGCTGCTGTGCAGGTGCTGATCACATGAAGTGGAATTTGCCTCAGCAGTCCTTGGTGTCTGCTGAGATATCTCTATGGATATGCTGCTTGTGAAGCTTATTGGGTTCTGCTCTTTTGTTGTCTGAAGTTGGTCACTTGGTGTATTGATTCTGGGCCTCTTTGGAGGGACTCTAGTGCAGGCCAATGTCAGAAGCTGTCTGTGACTAGCCTGCACTAGAGTCGCTCCAAAGAGGACCAGAATCAATACATCCAGTGGCCATTCCTCTGGTGCACAGAGGAACAGGTGTACAACCTGTTTGGAGCTATCAGTGATCCACAGCTTGTAGATTCCTCTACTAAGCCTGGGTACATGTGGAAAGGACAAGCTGTGCACCAAGGACTGCTTTTAGTAGCCCTGAGTCTAGGAGAAGGTCAGGCAAAGAGTCAAAGCACCCAGAGATTTGCCTCTGCCTTCAGGCTGTCTCTTAGTCTCAGTCACTTAACTGAGCCTCTGGCTGTAGAGCTCAGTCAGGTGTAAACTCCACAGGGTGGGGTGAGAGGGTTTCCAATGGGTGGGCTATTGCTCCCCCCCGCCCAGGCTAATGCTGCATAGATGGGAAGGGTCTGCCTGAGAAAGATGGCTTCTGCAGTATGCGGGAATGACTCAGCTTAGGGATCCAGGTGGCTGTCACCTCAAGCTCTCTTCCCAGAGTCACCAACCAAGACTCTCCTCACACAGCTCTAGTCCACTCTGCCCTACCTCTAACAGAACCCAGGGTAACTGTAAGAAAACAAAATTTTGTGTATTGGCCCTTTATGACAATGCCTGCATTTCTAGCCACCTTTCACTGGAGGACAGAAACCCTGCTGCTTTTCACAGCCAGAAGTTATGTGGACACATTTCCTGGTTTTGGTGCTCTGGGCTGGGGATCCCAGCTTGGGGTTTAGACTTCTCAGGGAGAACCCCCTATAGCTGAGATATCCCTCTAGAATTTTAGCTGCTGCCTGTGGGATCCCTGTGAGCACTCTTGGGCCTCTGCCCTTCCTACTAGTCTCGATGTGGCCTCCTCTTTAAGTTGTTGGTTATAAGGCTTCTTTCCACTTAATCTTCAGTTGGTTATTCAGCATGATTTTTCTATATTATAGTTATAAATCCATTTTGGTCCTGGGAGAAGGTCAGTGTAGCTTCCACCTAATCTGCCACCATCTTGGAATCCTAACATAGACTATAACTTATCTCTAGATAAATTTTCTATAAATGATACACTTATACATTTACTGTATCTAGGATAAGATCTTATTTAAGACTCTCAGCAGCAAAAATATAAATTCAACTGAGTACCATGCCCCAGCTGTGCTAATACTAGGAAACTGGATGGAATGATTCGGTCAAGCATGCCCTTCTCTGCAGAACTGTGGAGCTGGTGCACTCACTGAGAATCTACCAAGAACAACGCACTGTGTTCACATGAAAGGCCTCTAGTGCTCCGACACACCATCTTCAGATGTCCTCTCACAGTCCCATAGAGTCCTGGGTTTTGCAGGCACTGTGCAACTAGTGATCTCTGCCTTCAGTTGTTGTTGTCTTGAACTTTGCCCTAATATCTCAAGATCTACATAGGGAAGTTTCTTCAGAGCATGGTTGGGTTACATACTTCTTTGCAACCTTGTAGTCCCTCATAAAAACAAAACAAAACAAAACAAAAAAACTGGTACTAAAGAAGTACTTATACCTGTTACACTATTTTTATTACATTAGTGTGCCTGGCTTGGACTAGGGCATGTTGGGTTTGCCTCTGAAGATTTATATTGCCTCAGAAAACATCATAAAGGAAGTGTGTATTCAACCTCTTTTATTCTCCCTCTTCCCCAGTGTGTCATAAGAGAAATATGTTTCCCCTTTCTCTTGCATAACCCTCCCTCTATGCTGATGCTGTCATCAGAGTGGGCCTGAGCCTGGGAGGGCCCTGTAGGCTGTGCGGACAGGTGCCACCTCAAGGCCAGACTGCTAGTGTCTTCATGAGATCACAGAGGAAGGATTTAGATGTGCATTATTTGCCATTCCTAGTAGTTCTGGAAAGCAGTGTTATCTTTTACAGAGCCTTTGCTATTTCCTCTGAAAAATCAATGTGAGGCTGCTGGCTTCCTGACTTTTCTAAACAATCTGAGTTCATGGTAAAGCTTTCTTGAAGTGAATATTATGTATAACTTTCTCTCTCTCACTCTCATTTTGTTTTGTTTGGTTTGGTTGTGGAAGAGTTTAGTAACAAGACTGAGGAAATGAATGAGTTGATATTGGATAGAGAAATCATAGCATTATTACCATTCCAAAGAGAGGGATCTATCTACATGTGCTGTTTATGGAAAGATGTGTACTAGTACATAGATATCATGGGGGGAAAGTTGCAATAGAATATGTATTGTATGACCCCGTTTGTCTACATATGTATATGGACAAAAACTTCCTGGAACTTGTCATACTACCTCTGGGTTTAAAAGGGAAAGATATTCACATTTTATTTTATATCCTTTTCTACATATTTAAACTTTTTTATAACCATAGAAAATATATTACTTTTATAAGTTAAAAGAGCTTGTTTAAAAATTATGTGGTCTGGCTCTGGAGTAACTTTCCCTTTCCCATAATTTCTCTTAATAAACTCATTCCCATGTATGGATTAAATGATCCTACATCTGAAAATTATTCCCAAATCTTTAATTCTAGCCTCTCTATATGCCTCTCTCCCTTCTGAACTTGAGCTCTGAATTGCCTTAAAAAAAACACTTTTAATATTTTTATTGATTTCAGAGAGGAAAGGAGAGGGAGAGAGAGATAGGAACATCAATGATGAGAGAGAATCATTGATCGGCTGCCTCCTGCACGCCCCCCACTGGGGATCAAGTCCACAACCCGAGCATGTGCTTTTGACCAGAATCGAACCCGGGACCCTTCAGTCCACAGGCTGACACTCTATCCACTAAGCCAAACCAGCTAGGACTGAATTGCCTTTTATTTGCTGAATATTTTCCTCTGTAATATTGGCACCTTAAGTGCAATAACTAAAAGTCTCTTTCTTCTGAACTGCTCCTCTGTGTCTGTCCATATTGATCCAACCTCATGTGCTGTTTGGACTCATTCATCATTTCCACTTTTCATCCTTGTTCACCTCACAGGAACTGGGCTTAGAGCCCAATTCTGTCTGATGCCACAGTCTTCCTTCTGTTCCAAAAGCCCTGACTTGACTTCCCTTAACCAGCTAGGGCATGCTCAGATCCCTGAGTAGCTCGGAGAGGCTCTCTTGTCCCCATCTCTGTCCCTGAGCTCCCCTACAAGACTAAAGTTTCCCTCCTTACTCACCTCTTCTGAGGAGAGGGCACTGCTTGCAGATCACAATGACCTTGGCACTCATGTTCTTGCCAGCCTGTTGAATTGCCAGATTTCCCTCTTTATAGATGCTGATGAGGGAGATTGTGGCATGCAAGCTTCCACCCCGTGTGATGGTTGTGATAACAGTACCAGCAAATACTGCAGAAGAAAATGTTTTTGAAATAATATAACAGTGAAGGCAAATGTAAGCAGAATTGAGCATAATTTTACATTTTTGTAAGTTTCAGATGGGAAGCATTTTTTTAAAAAATATATTTCTTTATTGATTTCAGAGAGGAAGGGAGAAGGAGAGAGAGATAGAAACATCAATGATAAGAGAGAATCATTGATCGGCTGCCTCCTGCACACCCCCTACTGGGGATCAAGCCCGAAACCCAGGCATGTGCCCTTGGCCGGAATCGAACCTGGGACCCTTCAGTCCGCAGGCTGACGCTCTATCCACTGAGTCAAGCCAGCTAGGGCATCAGATGGGAAGCATTTTAATGTTAAAGAGAAGGCCCTAACAGAGCAATCAAATTTGATTCTGTATGCTTGTCACCAAAATTCAGGTTGAAGAAAGGAGCCATGGTGCTATCATGCTGCCCGTGTTGCTAGATGTTGAGACCCAGGAGAGAAACCTGAATAGCTATGCACTGTGGTCCATTACTGAGAAGGGACTCTTCACAATGTCTTATCCAACATGTAGATCAATTACCAAGTAAGGGATGGCTTATGAGCCTCTACCTGTGCATACTTCACAAGACTTTGAGTCTTCAGAGGCAACACCAAGCTCAGAGGTTGCATGAGGGTGTTTGGGCCACGAGGAAGGGAGTCTTTGTGTCTGTATGGGTGTGTGTGCCTACCTTTCTGCGTCTCCCCCACCCCTCTCTTTAGCCCCTCTCTTTAGTTGTCCTCTGTCTTGGAACTTTGGTTCATCCATGGGTCCTTAGCTCTCTCTAATTATCAGTAAATACCTGTCTTTTACTAGGTCTTTGATGTTCTCTTTATTAAATATATTTTTATTGATTTCAGAGAGGAAGGGAGAGGGAGAGAGAGATAGAAACATCAATGATGAGAGAGAATCATCGATTGGCTGCCTCCTGCATGCCCCATACTGGGGAGCGAGCCTGAAACCCAGGCATGTGCCCTGACCGGGAATTGAGCCATGACCTCCTGGTTCATAGGTCGACACTCAATCACTGAGCCTCGACGGTTAGGCTGATATTCTCTTTGTTATCCACCCTGTTTATCTCATTTAACAAATCAAAGTATAGAACTGAGCTATAACAAAGCATTTTCTTGCTTAAAATTTTTTCTAGAAAAATTCAGTTGCTTTTCATTATGTAACTCTCTTTTTTCCATTGTCACTCTGGGAGAAAAGAGTCTAATTTCTGAGCCACAAAAGGAAAGAATATGTGTCTCTCAGAGGTGTGCTTTTGGCATTTTGGTGAGGGCAATGCAATGTGGAACAGGACCTGCATTGAAGGACTATTTTATGAGCTTATCCCTGCCCAGAAAAACCAGTAGCACTCCCTGGTTATTGTGACAACCCAAACTGCCTCTGGAGTTCTGGCTGAGAACCAATGGGCAGCTGGTGACTGTATGTGGTCGTTTTGCCATGAGTCACAGTGGAGTTAATCAAGTTTTGGACTTGGCTGATAGGAGCCTTTTGGGGTGAAGTGAGAGCTCACTGCTTACATGGTGTGCAAAGCTCACAAAATCAGAATTCTCCTCTGTGAGTGCTCATTGCAAAATGTCAGCTTGTAGCCAAGTGGAATCAGGTGGCATCAAAGGACAAGGAGGGAGATTTCCTGAAGCACCCTGCAGAGAATGGCTGTCTGTGGTGGCAGGGACACCTGTGCTGTTTGGTTCATTTTATGCCTGGAAAGTGAAAGTGGGGGATGGGCCAGGTCCCTCAATGTGGAGCTGCTGAAGACTGATGCAGGGCATGCGGAGCCCCTCTGGGAGGCCCTGGGTCTGGGGTAAGCTTTTAGGTTTCGCAGCTTTCTTTTCCTGGCAAGACCTTCCTAAATCTTCCTTGTGGAAATAAGCAACATAATTAAATCTGGTATCTTTTGCTCTTGAGTGGTTTTCACAAAAATGGCAACTATATTTTTGTGTAAAAAGCTCTTCTAAATTCTAAATCATTAGTAATGTCTCCTCGGGTTCCAATTTATAGGTGTTTCCAAATAGATTTTAGATTTCCAGGTTTTAACTTAATACTTTAGAAGGACAGACATTGCAGAGGAAATGCTTGAATTTCCTGTGAGAGAGGCCAGCTTAGATATGCTTTTAATTTATTAAAGTTGAATTATCAATGTATGAAAAGATAACCAATACATGAAAAATATGTGAGAAAAAAAGTATACAGGTTTTTGTTTTGTTTTGTTTTTCAGTAATACTGAGCCAACCAAAATATACAGAATAGCAGTACCATGTACCAGGAATCAAATTAAATTTGTATGAAAAAGTAAATTTTCTATATACATATTTTTCTCAGTTATGAACTCTTAATATTTTGAAGAGCACAAGTCCATATACCTCAGTGTATGGGAAAGTATTTTCTTGGGTAAATCAAGAGTGTAACTTACCCTTTACCATCACATTCATGCCACTTTCTTTGAGACTACTAGTATAGTCTCACGTTTCTTATAAAACCAAAGTTGCTTAGTTTTATTTCTTACCAAAGTTGCTTGAACAGTAATTGCTTTCCAGAGTACCAGCCCATCTACATTTTTGTTGACACATGGCCATGGTGGGTTTTAAACCTTAATTCAAAAAGGAAAGACATAAGATTCAGGAAAATAAAATCAAGTATAATTGGTATTTAGATATGAATCTATCACTTTAACATTCCTATTTTTCTCTGAGCCACCAATATGTCATTGCAATGAAGTAATTAAAGATCATGCAAAAGAAATTCTTTATACTACCAACTACTGCTCCAATTTTCTTAGCATAACTGAATATTCTTTGCTGAATTTTAAACCTGAGATAAAAGAAAACCCATAATTAGCCCTATTTTCTTCTTCTCCATAAAACTAACACTATAATTAAAAATAGAGTTTCCATTTGCCCTGCTTAGAAAAACCTAGTACAACAAATATGAGCTAAGAAAATATAGGTTAACTCTTCACTTTACACAAGGAATTCTATAGTGTCACCCTAAAGATGGAGAGAGCTTTCTTGGTACATTTAAAACATGCAATTGCTTAAATGTGAGCAGTACAGGGTTTTTGGAAATACTGCTCACATGTAAAGTGTGTTATATTTGTAATTAGATACAACCAATTACTAAACATTGATATTGAGTCTGCCACGGCCTATCTGGAAATAGTTTTGTTATCACAACTAGGGCATGCTTCTAGCATCTAGTGGGTAAGGATGCTGCTAGATAACATACAATGCCCAATAGAAAAGAATTATGTGGCCCAAAATGTGACTAGTGCCAAGGTTGAGAAACCATGAGTTAACAAAATGAAATATTTAATCCCAATTACCATCATTTAAAATGTTTCAAAAATACTTGCTAATTATTCATTTATATGTGGCAATATTCTAGGAAGAACTAAGCAAAACAACAGTAACAAAATTGTACTTGTTAGGTAAGAATTTGCAATTGAAGTACTGCCTTTCTAATAGGTTCTGCGGACTCTTCTGTGAATTTATTATTTATTTATTTACTCTTAATTTGTACCCCTACTAAACTCCAAAAAGGATCTGAAGTGGATTACAACATAAAATATATAAAATTTTAATGTTAAATACATATAAGACCTTAAATACACACACACACACACACACACACACACACACACACACACACACATTTCTTTTTAAGAGAAAGAGCTCAGTAAACACTTAGAGGGAATGTTGTTCCAGAAGTTGGAGATCTAAATTTACATAATGAATTGAACCAAAAAGTAGTGGCATTATGTTCTCCCTGATGGATGAAAGGGAACCCTTCTATGTGGACCACTGGAAGCCAGCTCCTTCTCAGCCTCCAAATGTCAGAATGGAAGTTGGGTTGGTGTCCCACATTGCTCCATCCCTCCCTTCCATATATCCTTGCTCTCTTGCTCTCAGTCATCAGCTACACCACCTTAACCCTCCTCACCCTACTGCCATCTCCCCACTGCCCTGCTCTCCCAGCACCCACCTGGTTCTCAGCCTTCCTCTCCGTGTGCTCCTGCACCTATCTTTGTGGGGCACCCTCAGTGTGGTACTCCCTCTCCAAGCCATGGCTTCATCCTTCCCAGAGATTTTCTCTCTGCTCCATTTCAGTCACTCAGTCCCAGGCTCACATATCCTCCTGTTGAAGTCTTTAGTCACCAATTTCTCAAATTTAGACATCCTCATATCCAGTATAACTGCCTCTACTTCAAGCTTAGTTATTGATTTACTCTCATGACTACTTTTTTTTCTATCTTTAGTGGTCCAATACCTCTCATTTGTTCTCAATTCATCTTTACTTCCTTGGCTGTTCCACGTAGTTTCCATTATTTCTGTCATTTTCTTGACAATACCTTAATTGTCCTTTCCCCCTTGTCCTTCAACCCTGTCCGAACCTAGGCCTGCACTAAGCTGAGTCCACAAATGGACCCTCATCGAAGTGACAAGCTGTTTGGTGGATCAACTCACTCCCCAATTTCCACAGCTCTTTTTCAAATTCTCTCATTCTCCTAACCACCTCCCTTCTCATTCTTAGCAGGTGACCCTGCCTATTTTATAGAAAGAACAGAGATCATAGAAGAAAATGTCTGCAAGATCCCCACCAAACCTTCAAAGCTGTCTTGTCTGTAGTTGCTCTCTTCTCTCCCGCCCCTGAGAGAGGAGGCTGCTCCACCTCTGGCCAGAGGTCTGTCCTGTGAGTCCTCTGGAGTAGTGGTCGCCAACCTTTCAGACCTCACGGACCACCAGTGGTCCACGGGCCACTGGTTAGCAACTGCTGCTCCAAAGATTTCCTTAAACCAGCAGTTGCCAACCTTTAGGCCTCATGGACCACCAGTGGTCTTCGGACCACCGGTTGGTGGCTGCTGCTCTGGAGGCCATGCCCCCCACCTTAGTAGACGTTCCCTCCTCAGGTCATCCTTCTGTCTGTTAGTATGTTCTCCATTGCTGGCTGCTTCCCATTACCTTTAACTTCTTCTAGACACTCAAAGCCTCTCTCTCTCCTTTAGGACCAAACTTGTGGAATGAGATGCTGGAACTTACTATGAATTTCTTCACCTTGTTCCAAACACCTCAGCCCACTCACACAATTCTTGCTAGAGTCTCCAAGTCATGAAATAGAATGGAAATATTTTAATCCTTCCCTTTTTTGAAGTTTCATCAACACTTGGCTCTACTGACCATTCCCTTCTTACAACATCCTCTTCCCAGGGGTTCCCTGGCACATGATCCTGGCTTTCCTCCTTCCTCCTTAGTTCTCGCCTTTCAGTCTCTGTTACTAGCATATCCCCCCTTTAAAGTGTTGGAGTTTCTAGAGAGTTAATTCAGCCCTTCTTTCACCTCTAACCTCTTCCTAGGCAATCTCATTCTGGGTCATGGTATCAACCATGTATTGGTGATGATTCTCAGATTCCGATATCTTGCTTAAATCTGTCTTCTGGTCTGGGGGCTCATAGATATAACTGTCCACATGACATCCACTTGAGTATCTCACGGACACCTCAGATCCAACGAGGTCACAGCTTAACTTCCTCTACCCACTTCTCAACTTCAGTGAATGGTTACATTATCCCCAAGGTTTTGCAAGCCAGGGATCTGGTAGGCATTCTTGACACATACCTGATCTCCCTAGTCCAATTAGTCACCAAGGTCTGTCAATATCTCCCAAGGTCCCTGACTTGCACAATAGTCAATAACTCTTGACTGTCTCTGTATTTTATTTATTTTAATTGATTTTACAGAGAGGAAGACAGAAGCATTGATTTGTTGTTCCACTTATTTATATATCCATTGGTTGATTCTTATATGTGCCCTGACTGGGGATCAAATCCGAAACCTTAGCATAGTGGGATGATGCTCTAACCAACTGAGCTACCCATCAGGGCTCTCTGTATTTACGTCATAGCACAGTTCACTTGGACAACCACAAGAACCTATGGATCTTCTTGACCCCTACAACCTATTCACATCACAGTGGCCAGAGTGATCTTTACAGTATAAATCTAATCCTCAACTTTGCTTAAATCCATCAACAGTTTCCCCGACACTTAGGATAAAATCTAAAATACTTAGAGCATAAGGAAAGAGGTGGTAGGGACCAAAGATGAATCTAAAAAGAGAGAATAGGGATGAAGTGTAAAGGGCCTTATATACCACATGAAGGAGTTGGGCTCTTATGCTGTCCAATTTGGTAGCCACTAAGCACATGAGGCTTTTTAAATTTCATTAAATTAAAAATTCAGTTCCTCAGTAGCACCAGCCACATTTTCAGTGCTCAATAGTGGCTAATGTACTGGGTGGCAAGGTGTAGAGAATGACTTTAAGAGGGAGACAGGCCTGGTTGGCTTTGTGTGTGTGTGTGTGTGTGTGTGTGTGTGGTGGCAGGGCAAGCAGTGAGGAGGTCAGATAGAGGTCAAAGATGACTCTCAGAGTGTGGCTATGTTGAGAAGCAGGTGGGGGAGCAGGTTTAGGGCAGAAAGTAGTGTAATAAAAACAAGTTGAGTTTGATAGGTTTTAATATAAATGTCTAGCAGTTGCAAAACTCTAGGAGATAATTACAAATCCATGTTTGCCATTTAAGAGAAAGTTTAGGACTGGAGATAAAAGCTAGGGAACCACTAAGCACCATGGATGTGACATGAAAGAATAAGGACAGCAGGGTCCACTGAGGTGAGCTGGAGTAATATTACATTAACATGAGGCAGTACCCTTCCAGGTCACAAGGTGGCAAACTTGGGGAGTGCTCAGAAAAATCAACTCTTCCAGAAGGGCCTGTCCTCTGGACAACCTTACTTGGGGAGCATACAGGAAATAGTGGACAATAAAGTTGTTCTTATTTCAACCTGCTTCATTTCTTAACCTTAGGTCCTTCCTCCTCACTTTTTTCCTGCTCCCTGGATTTAGATTTTGATATCTGGAGCCTGAAATCCCAGTGAGTGGAGTTAACAGGATGTAGAGACTATATACAGGGAACCCCTCCTCTCTCCCCAATTCTTAGATCATGTCCCAGACCAGAGTTTCCCAACTGACTTCCAGAATATGTCAAATACTAGTATTTTTGTTTGATTTACTCTAACAAAAGATGTAATATATTTTGTATTACACATTTTGGAGCAAAGTAAAAAAATAAAAAAAGCCCAAATACTGGCAGATGTGAAAACAGGCACAGTATTTTAACCTAAAATACTATAATTCTATGTAATAAAAAGAAAACCATAATTTCATAAGTGCCAGCAAAGAAAAAGCAGTCTTATAATGATCTGTTATGTGGGTTCCTAGCAATTTTTAACTGGTCATAATTTTTTTAGATGACATTTACAAATTATTAGCTTAGCCCTGGCTGGTGTGGCTCAGTTGGTTAGAGCACTGTCCCATACATGAGGAGGTGGCAGGTTTGATTCCCAGTCAGGGCATACACCCAGGTTTTGGTATGCAGGTGGGAGGCAACCAATCAATGTTTCTCTCTCACATCGATGTTTATCTCTCTCTCCCTCTCTTTTAAAAATCCATTTAAAAAGTATTAGCTTATTATTCTTTTATTTAAAAGTATTTTTTAAAAATATATTTTATTGATTTTTTTACAGAGAGGAAGGGAGAGTTTTTTTTATAGAGAGTTAGAAACATCGATGAGAGAGAAACATCGATCAGCTGCCTCCCGCACACCCCCCACTGGGGATGTGCAGTAGGGGGCGTGCAGGAGGCAGCCAATCAAATGATTCTATCTCATTGATGTTTCTTTTTTATTTATGTATTTTTTATTGATTTCAGAGAGGAAGAAAGAGAGAGAGAGAGAAAGAGAGAGAGAGAGAGAGAGAGAGAGAGAGAGAGAAACATCAATGGTAAGAGAGAATCACTGATTGGCTGCCTCCTGCATGCCTCCCCACTGGGCATCGAGCCTACAACCAGGGCATGTGCCCTTGACTGGAATCGAACCCAGGACCCTTCAGTCCACAGGCCAATGCTCTATCCACTGAGTCAAACTGGCTTAGGCTTAGCTTATTATTCTTATACTTCATACTTCTCTTTCATTAATGGAATCATATTAGTCTCTTATGTATTGTTTTCATCTTATTTAACTTATTTAGTTTTAAATATCTTCCTTTTATTTTATTTTTTTCCTACTTTCAAAAGACTTTTTAACACTCCTTAAATTTATGTACAAATTTCAAAACAGAAAAACTCACCTGTAGTTACAGTGACTGTGGTGGTCATTGGCAGTGCTGTAGTTGTAGGTAATTTTTTTGGCCTGAATTTGTAGTGACCAATAAATCCATCTGCAGTTAAGCTTAAGTCTGAGAAAAACTGAATGAGAAGTTCATTTCTTTCAGATACAATTGGCCTAAAGGAACAAAAACATGTTTAAGTGGATATATTTTAAAGTTTAGGTGGTACCTCTCTGAAATGTAGAATTTTCTGTTTCCATTAATTTCTGACAAATTACTACTTGTTTAAACTTAAAAGCTAAAATACTTTAAAAAGGTGAAAGCCTTAATCTGCTCAATGTTAATGCTAATATTCACTGAGTATTTGCCGAGTTAGGCACTGTGTTTTGTATAAACCCTCTGCACCACAACCCTATTACTATCCCCTTCTTATGGAATAGGCAACTGAAGTTCAGAGTTCAGTGATTCGCCTGAGGCCCTATAGCTAGTGTGTAGGAGAGCTGGAACTTGACGCCATAGACTGCAGTGGACATGGGGATCAGTGTAAACACTGAAGCTGAGCTGGTTCGTCATAAGCACCTCAGGATTTAGATGGATGTGGGAACTGCACAGCTTCTCTGAGTGAAGACTCTGGGTCTAGCTGGCCTGGGGAGCTAGGGATGCTGGTCATGAGAATCAGATGGAGAAATTTAATGAACAAATTTCCAGGTGCTGTGAAGACACCACCCAACGGCTGGCTACCTATCACCTGGGTATAAGAAAGCCATTAGGGTTTAATTGAAATTCCATTTCACTTAGTACTGCAGTGCTCCATTTTTAATTATTTTATTTTTATGGATTTTTTTTTGGGGGGGGGGGAGGAGAAACACTGATTTGTTGTTCCACTTATTTATGCATTGGCTGGGTGTATTGGGAGGGTGCTCTAACCACCTGACTACAGGCCAGGGCCCATTTCTTTGTTGTTGTTGTTTTTATTAATCCTCACCCAAGGATATTTTTCCATTGATTTTTTTTTCTTTGGGGAGAGTGCAAGAGAAAGGGAAAGACAGAGATAAATATCAATGTGAGAGAAACACATCAATTGGTTGCCTTTGCACAAGTACCGGACAGGGCCTGGGCTGGGGAGGAGCCTGCAACCAAGGTATGTGCCCTTGTCTGGAATCAAACCTGGAACCTTTTAGTCCATAGGCTGATGCTCTATCCACTGAGCCAAACCGGCTAGGGCCCCATTTCACTTTTAATGTGTCTTATGCATGCCTGCAGTGGAAGCATTTCTGTTCATAATCTTCGTTGCAAAATGCATGAAGGAGAGAGCAAGTGATTATTTTGTTTTGGTGCTCATAATGACATCATTAAAAACTCCAGTTTTAGGGGTACTAAAGATTTAATGGTCATAATAACTGAGGTTTAAAAGCTCTCTTAAATCTCAGGGGATTTCATTTAAGCTTTTGTTATCATTATTTAAACAATGGTAAAAATGCTGTTTGGCTAATACTACTAAAAACTAATTAAGTGGAAACATTAAATGTCATTTGAGTTGAGGGTTTGATTAAAGTCCTTTTTTGAGGCATCTTCTCGGCAGAATCACTTCTTAGGTATCAGGGACAGCCCGTGCTGAGGTAGCTGTTCCCTCCTTGCTCAGCTAATTTCAGCGGGAGGTCTGTACTTGAGCCAACCAGTCAGAAAAACTGCAAGATCTCTTCTGCCCTGGAGGTTATTACTTTCTGAGCCAAGGGACTCGGCAGACCTAAGAACGAGCCCATAACCTGCCTTTAGTCTGGTCACAAAAGTGACCTAGGAGATCAAATAATGCTTCTGAGAATCAAGCCTTTCACAGAAATATTCTGTCTTGCTTTTGAAAACACATTCCTTTAAAGAAATGCAAACAGCGTGCTTGAAACACAATTCTCAACTACAGTTACAAATAAAACGTTACTGTTGTTTAAATGATAAAATTACAAAAAGCAATTATTATAAGCACCAAAGGAAACCTTAAACCCAATCCAACCAGTCTTCTAGGCAGGATGTTATAATTATAGTGACCATTCACTGTGTTTTCTATGAACTAATCTTGGGAGCTATGTTGGAAAACAAATTTTCTCGAGGAAAAATATTTTAGTAACAGTCACATTTTTGTTATGCTGCTACTGAGCTTTGTATAAATGTGACAGAATCACAGTGCCATATATTTACTGAGGGGCATGTGTTGCATTTGCAAATTAATGTTACAAATCACTAAGAAGGAAAGAAGATATCTCACTTGGATCAACTCTGCCCTGGCAAAGCCCAGTAGTAGATTGAGGATGCTGCTTCATTTCTTACAGCTGGCTACACTGGTTCTTGCATTCCACAGTCTTCCCCTTCTTCAATCATAGTCAATCAACCACAATGTTCTGCAAATTTTGCCTCCTAAACGTTCCTTGACCCACCACCTGCTCTTTTCTCCTACCCCTCCCTACCTCCTGGACTTTATCTGGAGTACTGCACAGCCTCCTGGCCAGCCTCCCTTCTCAGCAGTTTAGGACGGGGTTCTAGAGAAACAGGTCCATCACTGTGTACCAACCTGCACTTCCAGGTTGCTGTTTCAAGATGCGGAACCAAATTGAACCCACCTGCCTCATCTCTCTCTAGGCCCCAACTCAAAGTTTAGGCTCCAGAAGAGCATCTGTCTGCCCTGTGTCTGTGCTAACAGAGCTACCTCTGTGCTGGTGTTCTTGATCCAGCACCTAGAAGGGTTCAGGAATCTGGTTAAGGGCTGTGTGTAGATTAAATAACAGTCCAGAGACGAAACATAGGTTTGAAAGGCATTTGGGGGCCAGAGGAGCTTGGCTAAAGAAACCAAGTTCTCCGTGTCTCAGGACCCCTTGCTATTTATTAACACAATTTGTCCTAAGGCAAGGTAGATATACATGGAAGGGTAAAGTTAGGTACAGAATCCATTGTCAGATTGGGGGAAATTGCCTACGGCTGTTCAGGTGTTTGGCCAGTAGGAGGCAATAACATGTACATTGAAATGCCCTGAGCTCTCTGGCAGCAAGCAATCATTTAATGCATCCTTTTCAGGTTTGGTATACAGAATCCATTCAGATTGGAGGAATTGCCTTCAGCTGTTCAGGTGTTTGGCCAGTAGGAGGCAATAACATGTAGATTAAGATGCCCTTAGCTGTCTGGCAGCAAGCAATCATTTAATGCATCCTTTTCAGGTTTGGGGAAATGCCCTCAGCCATTCCCAGGTGATTCAGCCCTGCTGACATGCTGGAATTGGCTTCTGGCATGATAGCCCCCCAATCGCAACACTCCTCCTTCTAATCATACTTTTTTGAATCCTCACCCAAGGATTTTTTTTTAACTGAGGGAGAGGGAAAGGGAGAGAGATGGGGGAGGAGGGGAGTAAAGAAGGAGGTGGGGGGAGAGAGCATGCAACAGAAACAATAATAGGTCGGCTCCCAACTGAAGATCAAATTGTAACCCAGGTATGTGCCCTGACTCAAAATTGAATCCAAAAACCTTCAATTCCAATATTGTTAGTGGTATCGATTCATCCTATTCATGAGAATAGTATATATTGCTATTTATTTAGGTCTTTTAAAATATATTTTAGTAAGGCTTTATAATTTTCTTATTAAGGCCTTGCACAAGATTTGTAAAATCTATTCTTGAGTATTTTATATTTTGTTGCTATTAAAATATATTTTTAAACATACAAATTTTAAATTAAAGCTATTTTAAAAAGATATTCTTGAATAAATTAATGTTTTCAACAAATAAACACATAAATCTGCAAGTCACACTTTAATCTGGTGATGTATGAAATAGATTTTCTAAATTCAAGCCAATCTTGAATTCCTGGTCAAAGAGTATTTTTTATACATTGTTAGGTTTGGCTTGCTAGTATTTTTTTCTTTTAGCAAGGAATAAAAAATACTTTACTTTTCATCACATTCATTAGTGAGACTGGTTTCTAATATTCTTTTCTGGTACTGTCCTTACCTAGTTTGAGTGTCAATTTATACGAGCCTTATAAAATTAGTTGTGGAACAACCCTATTTTTCGATGGAAGAATCTGTGTAGTGCTGAAATTATTCATTCCTGCAATGTTGGTTAGAACAGATGGAGAAACGCAATCTGGGTCTGTTCGCCCACCCCTAGATCACTTTTAACTAAATATCAAATTTCTTTAATAATTATTTGGCAATTTTGGATTGTTCTTTCTTCTTCCTTTTTAAAGTGACTATTGTATTTCATTTGAAATGAAAGTTAACCTTTTTTTAAAAAAATCTTTATTGTTGAGGGTATTACAGATGTCCCCCTTTTCTCCCTCCACCCGGTTCCTGCCCCACCCCAGGCCTTCACCACCCTATTGCTTGTGTCCATAGGTAATGCATATGTGCATATCAGTTCTTTACTAGCAGTTAATCTCTTTCAACCCCTCCCCACTTCCCTCTGAGATTCATTAGTCTGTTCCATGTTTCTATGCCTCTGATTCTATTTTATTCACCAGTTTATTTTGTTCATTAGATTCCTTGTTCAATTGATTCTTAGATTTAATTGTCAATAGATACCTATTTATTACCATTTTATTGTTCATATTTTTATCTCTTCTCCTCCTCCTCCTTCTCCTTCTTCCTCTTGTTAAAGAATGCCCTTCTTCTTCCTCTTCTTAAAAAATACTCTTCAACATTTCATGTAATACTGGTTTGGTGGTGATGAGCTCCTTAAGCTTTTTCTTGTCTGTGAAGCTCTTTATCTGACCTTTAATTCTAAATGATAGCTTTGCTGGGTAATCTTGGTTATAGGTCCTTGCTATTCATCATTTGAATATTTCTTGCTATTCCTTTCTGGCTTGCAAAGTTTCTGTTAAGAAATCAGCTGTCAGGAAAGTTTGCCACATCTCTGAGCCCAGAGGGTCAGAGGGAAACCGCGTGGCGGCACCCAGCCTCGTCCCTTGGAACAGGCGCAGCCTCTGATGGGGGAAAGGAGATCCACAGGACTATTGGGGGATTTGAGATCTGGATGCCATAATTACGAAAGACTGAGCCCAGAGGGGGCAGCCTGAAGCGCTGACCAGACCATGCAGTGCCGGTAAGAGAGGAGCTCCCAGAGACTCAGTCTTCCCCGTTTCTGCAGCCGGCGTTTGTTTGTTTTCACTGAACCCTGTTCATAGGACATTTCGGAT